TCACAAATAATTAGGGGGGGTACCACTTCAAAATGACCTTTCCCTAAGCTGATAATGGTTTCAGACCCTACAGACGGTTCCCTTCGTTCACCTTCGTTACCACTGCCAATGGGGAAGACGGTGAACACATCAATGACAATGTGCAAATGTGCTTCACCCTCAGGCTTCCTCAAAAGCAAAAGTTCAACTTAGTGCTCTTAAAGGAGCTCTCTAAATAATGTGCTTTGACTACATTTCTTCGTTTTCTTTAATGGCAATGCGATGGCGCCACTAATGGCTGCTCAGAAGTGACGCCACGGCAACGTAGAACGATCGTAAGCCTGCTTTCAAACTTTGAAGTGAAGCTTTGGGCAAACTCTGATCCTCTTTTCGTGGAATGACTAGGCAGCAGCGATGATACAGGTGGTGGCACAATGCCGCCACACCAAGTTCATATCGGATAGCACTCTGAAGTGACCACTCGTTCCGCCCAGCCAGCATTGGAAGCTCAAGGATTGCACGATGGCACTTCCGTCCTCTGCTCAGTATCTTGTCTCCCTTGCCCGGGGTAGTAGCTCTTCCCAGCTCAAAGAAAGGGCGCTGTCTGCACTCTGTGCATCCACTTCCGGCTCGTCAGTCTCAGGTCCAAACAGGCGCCACGATGAGACGCGCGTGCATTGCCTGGATGACACAGAGCAGGCGGTTCCAATCGGGGCGTCGATTTCATCGAAGGTGGCTGAGGGATCGGCAATTCGTGCATGGTTGGCAAGGAAACACATTTTGGCTCCCGCAAACAGGCTTGCGCGTTGCAAAAATTTTCAGTCACTACATCTAGAACTTGGTTCGGTCGCACAGTCAATTGGAATCCAGACATGTTTGCCCGATAAAACTATTGGTAGTAAGTCCTTTGCGACAGCAGCAGCGAAAGGTGATAGCGACCCGACGTTTGAGGATTTCCTGAGCGGGTATAAGAGTAAGAAAGATGACGATGGAGAGGAGGAGGCGCTGCGTCAGAGCATGGCCGCAATCAAGCAGAACCTGTCAGTCTCTGAGGGGGCTGAGCTTGGACCAGAGGCAGTCAACAGGTTTTACACCCTCAGGTGAGGCCCGAGGCACTTTTCAAGGTTTTCAACCAGCAGACCGGCAGTTCAACAGGCGAAGATATCACAAAAAATGTTAGAGTCAGTGTATACAGGACCCTGACGATGCAAAACACAAACGTGCAAGACTGTGTACTGAGAGGAGTCGGAGCAATCCTGAGGGGAGTCAGTGGTGTCTTGTTGAAGACTTACGGAAGGGAGATTTTTGCAAGCAAGTTGCTGCATCGGTTTTGACCACCTCAGAGATCAAAATTTGCAGTCAGGGAGCAGGTTCACAATCAATCCATACGTGAGTTCAGCCGATTCATGAGAAGATTGCTGGACTTTGTTGAACCATCCGCTGCGATCGGCATGTCCAACAATCATTATCATAAAACATCCGCAATGCGCAATTCCCCTGACATTCTCCAATCATTCCCATTTCACCCTCGTTTCTCCAACCAGCGAGGAAGACATGCGTACGCGCTTAGCGGAGGGGTTGCCGAGAAGCCTGGAAAAGGAGTTTGCTCAACAAAAAGAGAAGCGGATACTCGTTCGGCGGCAGGGACTCGACCTGTTTGAGAAAGTCAAACAGCGGGTTGAGGATCGGAGTGAGTGCTCAGTTTACGATGGATCTCTGTTTCTGCCTTTTCCGTGGTACAGTTGGTGGTCCCCTTTTGCCGCCGAAGAGCAGTAGATAATTTTGCACATCAGTCAAGTGTCCTGTTTGGATTGTCCAGCTTATCTGGCTTCTCCGTCAAAACATCCATTCTGAGAATGTTTGGAACACCTTTTTTGCGCAGGCCCAATGTTTACTTTTGGCCTAAAGGTTTTTGAGGACCCCAAACTCATCCTTGTGCCGTTTCGTGACAAAAGCTGGATGAGAACTTGCTGATGTTTCTACAAACCCAGATTCATTCACAATCCAGCATTCTCTTGAAGGAAGCTCCCTTTCCCCCGCAGAAGAATGGTAGCCCGAATTCATTGAGGGCAGAACGCTGAGGTCGGCTCTGACCTAATTCGGAGGACTTGAGGCAGTGGATTGTCCAAAGCAGACTTTTTTTGCTGCCTTGAGGGAGTAGATCCACTCTCCCTCGCCAGAAGATACGTACACCACACTCCCCTTTTTGCTCATCTATTGCTAACATCTATCTGTCTTTCCCCCCTGCAGAGTCTTACCAGTACCGAGCGCTGGTTCTGAAAGGCCCCAAGGGAAGCGGCAAGTCGTCCTTGCTCGCACTGCTGGTGCATCAGTGCCGCTCCGCCGGCTGGTTAGCGCTCTACGTGCCCTCGGGAACGTCGTGGATCTCGGGGTGGTTCTACGGCAAGGATGAGAAGTCGGGCTTCTTTGACACGCCGGTGCAAGCCGAAAAGGCGCTTAAGGTGAGGGTTTGGAGACTCTTTTGGGCCTCTTTCTTCTTTACGACCACTGATTGAAAAAGCACACGGGAAAATGAGAGGCCATTTTGGTCTTGAGTCACGTGGCTTCTTTAATAACGGGCGTTCGCCTTAAACCTCACGGAGTTTTGGTATAAACTCCCAAAGGACTCATTGCGCACTTTCCATTCTCGAACACCACCTTCTGAAGCACACCTTGAGAGAACGATAAGTTTCTCGTTTCAAGCACCTAAACTTCGTGTGGTGAGTAGTGCATCCGAGAGCCTCTGACATCTCCTCACACGTTAACAACTTGGCTTCTCAGCTTTGGCCCCTCCTGTCCCACTGCCGTCTTTCATCCTTTTCAACCAGACTCTACACTGTTTTTCTTCTTCGAGTACAACCTGCCTCGTGACGTAAGCCTTTCGCCATCGACCTGTTACAAACCATCGAGATTGCACCAATGACCATTTTCGAGGCAGTGTTTGACGTGTAAGGGCAACGGCACTGATATCGGTCTTGTAATCGAAATATCCAGTAGATTCTTCTCCTGACGTTACAGGCCCTGTTGGCTGCGCACGGCGACCTGCTGGAGTCGCTTCCGATCCGGGTCCCGTTGAGCGCAATCGGCCCAGTGTTCGGAGGGACCGCGAGCGTAGACCTGGACACGGAAGAGCTGGCCACGGGCACGCCTGAGGAGGGCAGTCTCAAGGTGAGTCTCGCCGAATGCTTTAGAACGTTCGAGTTTCGAAAAAATTTGAACACGAAAAAAGTTAGTTTTGGAGGCGCGGGCTGCTTGTTTTCGACCTCAACCGCAAGTATTGAAAAGTCTGGGAATGCAGACTCGGTCGAGGGAATCTTGGAGACGCGAGACGATGCCAGGTGCGAAATTACGGGATGGTTGTGTTAGTCTGTAGGGGGTTTGATCCTTACAGCCTGCAGGTTCCAAGCGGCAGCCTCTTTTTCTAACTTAGGTTATTTTCTCCGAAGAGACTCTAATTTCAACATTCTGATATCCATCCACGAGTTTGCGTGTGGTTTCGCTTGTGGTCCAGGCCTGTCATGCTAGACGTCACCACTGTACTATGCTGACGTCAGCCCCTTTTTCTGTCGGTCGGCCAGAGCCTCGTCGAAAAGGGGCTGGAGAATGAAGGGGAGCGCGCCGGCGAGATGCTCGCGCGGCTGCGGGTCGAGCTGACACGTGTCACCGAGGTGCCGGTTCTCATTGCGATCGATGAGGTGAACTCGCCTTCTCTACGCTTTTCAAACTTTCTTGCTCCCGGCAGGTTTTGGCACAAGGTGTTTGAGCAGCTTGACTTTGAGTCTACTTGCTGGGTTGAGAACCTCGGGAACGGATGCTCCTGCGAAAGGATGACCCATATTCTGCGAAGCTCAGGGCAAGGTATATCAACCCTTTGAAAAGGTAGGCTTTTTGAGCCCGTGGAGCCGACTTGTGCGTATCGTGGGCCGTGGAAATCCCAGGAAGCTTGCTGCCTGAGAAATCAAATATTGAGAGCCTGTGGATTGCTATAGGAGGGCACGGGATTCCGAGTTGAGTGGGCTGGCTAGCTAGTCTTACTCGTGGCGCCCCAAATGCTCGTCCAGTTGTGTTTTCTATGTTAAAAACGGTTTACCGCTGAGGCGACCTTCACTTGATGGGGCTGGCTCGAGGTTGGATCGCAAGCATTCACAAGCTAATTGATTGCTTGAGGTTGGATTGCAAGCATTCACAAGCTAATTGATTGACCAGGCTTGAACCTCATCTTTTAGACGTGGGTTTTCGGATTGAAAAGCGTCTAAGTGCGGACTGCAGTGGCAGGGACGTGTCTACGCGTGGCTTTTTAGCCACTGCTAAGCCTATGCTTTCCGATGCCATGAGGGTAATCGATTACCCAAGGTTCGCTTTCCGCTTGTGCTTCTCTTTACGTTGATCCTGAACTCCAGTGCTTTTGCGTTTGACTCAAGAACTGCTTCAGCGGTACTCTCTCATAATTCCTCCGTCCGTCCTTCTGCCTTATGATAGACATGGAGCGTGGGGCGTTCTGTTAAATATCATCTCGACGCCGATAATTCTGGTCGTATCTCAGAAGCCGGTTTTGTCTTTGCGTGGTGGTCTGCTCTGCACATGACAAGATCGTTACCGGCTGAGACCCACATTCTCTGTTTGCCGGCTGCCTGATTTTCTGGAGAAAATGAGGATTTATTTCAATTGTCTGATGCTGCGGAGGCATCTGAAATTATCTAGTAATGCTTTGAGCTGTTTCAATATTCATGTGACTCGGCTGCTCGTCTTCAGTATGAGTCCGGTTCTCATTGTGTGAGTTCCACTCCAGATAAAGTTCTGCTCGCGTGGATACACGTTTGGAGATTGTGGAACCCTCAGCTCCGAATCGCAGTAGTCAGGAGGTCGAAAAAGTGGCATTTCCGGTCATCTGCAGTCCCGATGCCATGCTTAAAGGGATCTTATCAACCTTGCCGTTCGAGGTCGAGGATCAGTCGCGGTACTGTATTAGCACCCCTTCTCTTGGGTCTGGTACATTGATTGTATTTTCACTCTCTCTGCCGCGGGTGTCGTATCAGCACTCCCTTCCCTAGTTCAGTACGTTGTTGAACCTTTTAGTCTCTAGTTGATCTTATATCGTAAGACTTGAACCCCATTTTCGAATTATCTTGCTACGCTTGCGATGTTAAGCGCATCCTGAATCCACTTTGTAGTTGTCATCAGAGGCCGCAAGCTTCTTTCCTCAGCTCGTCGCAAAGGCCGAGTGCCGCTTCCAAAAACAAAGGGACGGATTGAGACAGATTCTTTATTGAAATACAGACACAGTGTTTCGCAGCGCTTGCGTTTCATTCATGTTCGCTGATATTTGGGGGACACGGCTGAGCGGAGGTCGTTCAGATTGATATGGTCGTTTCCGGTCACTCCACTTATTGTTCCCAATCGATGCGGATCTTCTTTGTGCATCCCCGGCACAACTGCCATCGTGGCGACGACGAGTTGGAGCCTTCGCCTCTCTCATGGGAGAGGGGTTCTGAGCGTTTTCCCTCTCTGACGCCCTCGGGGTCCCAGAAAGTTCCAACAGAATATGGAAGCAGCGTTCTGAATTATAGTAACCGATTGCAAAAGGAAAGGAAACAAAGGACAGGCGCCGCGTTGAGGTTAAAGCTCCTGAAATTATTTTTCGAAAATCTGTGCATGAGTTCTTTAGGGGTTTCCCGGCATATAGTAGTGTTATTCTAACTAGACTTTGCAAACTGCTCAACCTAGGTCCAGGCCGTTGCACGGAGGGCTCTTTTATGGAGTGCTCAATGTTCTTAATCAGACTCGCTCGTTAAGGCTGGATGTTTGCATCGGCTGTAGGTTTGGGTTTTCAGCGGCATCGTCCAGAGGAATTGTCCCACGTCAGCAAGCTGCTTAAGTGGGCGATTGTGCAGACGCTCCGAATGAGATCGTCGTGTCCATCTTCTTGTTCCAGCACCATCGAAATGTTTTTGACTCGGCTCGCCTTTTCGCCTTCTTTCCTTCAGTCGTACTGTTGGATACCGGAAGTTGGACTTTTCAAGTCAAGACTTCGTGGTGAGAGTCGCTCGGATGGGGCCACCGCACGGTCAAGAATTAGAAATTATACTTGAAGGACTTCTGCAACACTCAGATGCAGGCTTGAAGAGAACCTTAAAGGTTTTTGCCTGGCGATTACCGAGATAGTATGGTCACTTTTTGAGAGAGTATCTGCACCGACCCTCTCGTCTGATTGCCCCAAGGAAGAGCGCAGATGGTGACGGGAGTGTACCACATGAGCCTCGGCCATGCTTGGCGGTAAAGTTGAAAGGTTGTTCCAACATCGCTCATGCTTGCCTGAAGCCACTCGTACACGGTTCGCGTTTAGCGCAAGCTGGAGTCAAGCTGACGGTCAGCAGGCGGTCGTGGCGTCCATGTTTTGTGTTGTTTTTCGGCTGGACATGCAAAGCTTCTGTCTTTTGCTCGCAAGTCGGCAAATTCTGAATCCAAGATCCGCTTGATTGCGAGTAAGCTGCCAGTGTGCATTTCGATGTTCCTTTTCCCTATCTGTAAACAAGACCCACTTTATCGCTGGCAACGCCTCCCATGACCGGCCAGGAACACGGGCCGGTCGTTGCGAGGTGTGTAGTCTAAGTTTGTTCTTTGGAGTCTCGTTAGTCCTACCGGCGGATGTGTCGTGAAAAGCTTGGTTACGCACAGGAACGTTGTTGAGATGCTGAAGACCACAGAAGGGCAGTGATGCATCGTAGCGTGATCTTTCTGGCCACGCACGATTTTAACGTCCGCTGAAGCCGAGGAGGACGGCAGACTGTCCAGACGACACGTGGATCAATAGACGCCACACTAGTGTTTCCAGAGTGTATCACTTGGGTGACACTGGCCCGAAACGGCACGTCGTTTTTGACGAAGTGCATATGACTGCTGTCCCCTCAGGCTGGTCAATAAACTGAGGGTTTTGCATACGGAGCTTTAAGATTGGGTGCGCCTGATCAGCAAAGCTTTTCAACCTGTTTACATATGTGTGGTCTTTGCTTACCAACTGTGTGCGAAGTACGAGATCCAAGTCGCGTGCGCAGACTATGCCTCGTGATGATTGCATAAGCTGCGGCTCAGCCAAAATTGTTCTTTTGGGACGCTGCTCAAGTCTCGCGTGTTCAGGGAATTGTCGCGGAAAATTGTTCATGGGACGGCAAAAATGGAAGGCTTTAAAGACAATGTTTGGAGTACATCTCACAACAGTTCTGGCTTGTCAAAGCCGACGCAAAGACAGCGATATAGGTCGTGAGATATTTTGCAGTCTTCTTTTTAGACATGTGTGCCCTGAAGCACGGCTATGCAAGAACCCTTCTTGAGAATCCTTCTCAATTGTGTAAGACTGTCCGCTCTGAAGCCGCTGCTGGACCGCAAAGGAAACAAAGAACTCGAAGACTGCGCGTCTTCCTAGCTAGTGTAGCTGCTACAGGAAGGCTAGATATTCGAGGCATGACTCGCTTGAATATCTGTTATACTGGAGTTAGCGCAAAGTTGGAAAAAGGAGCTTCAATCAGGCTCCTCAACTGGTCATGTGGAAAAAATGAATCTCCTGCTAGCACGTAACACACTGCAAATCAAATTGCTACTTTTCGCAACGATCAAATCTTTGCAACGTGCGTGACTGGTGGAATGAAGGTCTGCCCTCCAGCCGCCACGTTGGTCCAATATCCGTCACTAGCAGCACAGCGACTGGAACCCCAGATCTTATCAAAGGCAACTCTTTTCAGCTCCAGCCGTTTCAGTCTCATCTGCTAATTGGCCCCATCTCGTGTGCTCTGCAGTATAACAGCTGGTTTGGGACCAGCGCGTATGGCGACGTCAACGAGGAGAACACCAAGACGAGACGCATCGACGCCGGGGAGATGCGACTGGTAAGTAGTCCGTGCTGTGTTTGTTGATTTCATCCTCTCTCCTGTTTTGAATCTGCTTATCAGACGCCCTGAAAGGGCTGAACATGGTCTGGGCATGCTTCAATCGCTGGTAACATTGTTGGGGCAGACTTGTCCTTCAAAAGCCATAAGTCGGGGTCTTCGTGTTGTTAGAATAAGACATAATTGCTTTTGAACACCCGACCCTTCGCCATGGACCGTCAGCTCGACTGACTTACCTCGACGAAGGGATCATCGCCGAAGAAAATTCTCGCTAAATGCAGATTACGGATAGCAGCGGATCGCTTTAAGATTCTGGGTAAAGTGTATCCTTGGTTGTTCCTGTTCCTTTCGCTCAAACCTCAAGACAAATCAATCGATTGAAGTTTCCCCGCTCCTATTGCCGTGTTTGCCTTTTTCTCGAATGGATAAGACAACAGCTTACCGAATTCTGTGTTGCCCGTATGGGCGTTTTGGCGTGTGACTGGAGCTTTTCCGCTCCTTATCTTCCTTCTGAGCTTCCAAGTCCACCACCCAGTAAACATAGGAGCTGAATATCCCCGACTCGCAGGTCCACGAGTTTGGCCTTCCGACGAGCGGCCGAAAGGTTTCCGCTCCTTAGTTCTCTTCTGTGCCTCTGACCCGACGACCTATAAAACGAATGAGCTGACTTTCCCCGCAGTAGGTCCACGATTTGGCATCTCGACAAGTGGCTGAAGGGTGTCGCTCCTCATTCCCCTTTTATGCCTCTGACTCAACTACGCACAAATCAAAATCGCTGACTTCTCCCCCGTTCGCAGGTGCACGCATTTGGGCATCTCGACGGCGACCTCGGGCTGAAGAACGGAGTGGTTGTGGCCGCCGCGAGCGGGTCGCTGGGCCTCCCTGCGGACGTTCGCGACATGCCCGGGGTGTACAAGGACGTCCGGAAGATGGTTCACCGCTTCGACCGGGAGGAGACGGGGGCCATTCTCACCAACTACTTCGCGTGAGGTCTCAAACTCCGTCTTCAATCTCTAATCTGGGAGATTAGAGTTGACTGAAGCTGGAAAAGCTGTGCGCAAGATTCTGGCGCATAGTCTCTTAGACGGAGAGGGGATCACGGCCGTCACGACCAATCGCTTCGTGTGATCATTCTTTTGGTCAATCCTTTCTGGTCCTCCAGCAATTGATTGAAAGTTCACATACATTTTCGGAAAATCGCGCCGATAGACGTGGGGACTGGCCTTGGAGTTGCATGTGCGCCTGACATTTCGCGTTGTACCCCGTCATGACGAGGCTACCAAAAGCTCCATTCAAACAGATTGATAGACCATGTGGAATAGTTTCGGAGTGATCATCGCCTCGATGGATCAAGGCTATTGCACAACGCTTTCGCTTCCTGCAAGCACGAGATCCCCGTGATTCACAGCTTAATTGGAGTCCGGCAACTCAAGTTCTTCCTTTAGGAGGAGATGAGAGGCGCGTAAATCAAGGCGGTAGTTCCCTTTCGAGCGTTTTTTACGTTTGGAGGCTTTGGCGGGTCCGCTCGTGGTTTGGTCAAAATCGATCGGTCTGCATCCGCACTTCATGCCTTCGCCCTCTTTGCTGTCTGATATTTCGACGTGGGTGCTTTTTAATTGTGGTTGCTTTCCAAGCGTGGCTTCAGCACGAGGCCTCGCCATCAATTGGAACAAAGAATCCCTCCTACACATTACTTTTGACACTATTTCCTCAACCTTCCCCTGACGCGCCCTCCTCCTGCAGTTGCGGTGTCATGATCAACGCGTCCAAGCGCCCCAAAGACGAGACCATAACCACCGCCCACTTCCTAACTGGGGGGAACGGCCACGAGCTTCGTTACTACGGCCCTCTGTTTCAAGCGGACCGGCCGGCACTGCCAACTCCGGAAGCTTTCCAACCGCTGCTTGCGGAAGGAGGATACACGGGCGACGATCGGCAGCCCGCGCCGAGGATTCGCAACTTTGTGCAATCATTGAGTGGCGAGTTTTGAGGAGCACGGACACAGGCGTAGAGTCTTTGATATGGGTGTCTTCATGCTCAGGTGGAAGGCGGGATCAATCCGGAAGGATGAAGGGACTTGGTAATCTGCTGATGAGGATAGATCTAAATCTTGGGCAGTTTCCAATTATGAGACCCATTCATGCAAACACAAGTTTCGCATGGCACACTTTCGCATGGCACATCTTAGTACGTGGTGCCACAATTGCCTCGAGCTTCATGAGTGCAGGCTCAGGTGCGCATATAAGTTGCGACTCAAGCAGCCGCAGTTACGTTACATGCCTACGGCCTACTTCCATTGCTGCATGATTGCTTGTACCTACGCTTCGACGTACTCAATCCATTTCAACGAAGAAACCAGAGACGGAATCCTTCCAATGACCAATGCGAGATCGACAATATGATTCTCGGGCCCCTTATATTCGGGGTCAAGATTTTGCTTTCGACGCCGGAAGTTTGTGCTATCGAACAACCCTAAACATCCCGAAAAATCTTCGGCTGTCGCGAGCAAGTGCGCAGCTGCGTTCACCTACCATCTCCCCTTGGCAAGCAATGTAACTGCGCATCCGGCCTAAAAGCAGCCTCAGCTCAGGTCCAAGTGCGAGCTAAAAAGCTCGGAGCCTCCAGATTCTATAGATAAGCAGTAGGCCGGGCGCATTCTCCCTCTATCTAATGACTGGTTCTTCGTTCAGACTCATACCGACGGTCGGATGCAACAATTCGAAATCGAAGATCGCGGTGTTTCGATAGCAGAGAAACGTTGTAAACATTTTGACCCCGGATTTAAGGGGTCCGATCGAGATTAGCTACAGGCATGCTTTGCATACATGACCGTACGATGATCATGAATTCTGGACTGTGGACTTTCAAGTTTGATCTCCTGAGTGAGAATTCAAAGCACTATGTATAACCGAAGTACGCACTTAATGATGTACCAACACGCGGTACCCACGACGATGTTCTCCGCGGAACACTGCCGCACAGTCTCAAATCCCCGTACACACAATGGAAATTTAACGCTTGCAATGATGCATGCAGTCACATTGATATGGAGAGTGCAAGCGAATTTGGAAGTCTTGGTTCATTCTTTTGCACAAGTTCCGACCCCATGTGCAGCGAAATGTTTTAACCTTGCTTTTGTATAATATGGCAAGAAAAATTGGAAGATGATTTTACGCAGTTTTGTTCGTCCAAAGAAGCTCTTTGCGAACGCCATTATAGTTCCAATATTGCCTGTGCAATCTTTGAACTTCGGTTTAAGTCACATATGTACAGTTGTATCCGGGAACTCAACCACGTCCGCGCATCTAAAACCCGACCCGGATTTTTGCACTTGGAAGGTTCTTGCTCTTTGACCAGACAATATTGTTGGATCGACGAAGCTAAAGTTGCACGAGGTGTGCACTCTTACAGCTGCTCTCTCTTGCAACGTGGGTCGTAATGTAAACCTAGATCTAAGCTGCGTGGAAACCAAAAGGGGCCAGCCAGGTAAACAGTGTATGATACTGCAGACCTTACACACTTCCCGCACTTTTAAGGCAGTCCTAAAGTGGCCAATGTACTCCTGCAAGATCGAGACGTGACTCCTAGTAACATCTGCTATACACGGACGTGCTATACATGAACGCGGTTGTTCAAGGGTCTGCCTCTGAATCCGACCCGTCCCCAAAATCCTCTCCGGCCGCTTCGTCCTCATCTGCTGCTTCCTCTGCGACCCACTCCCGCATCGCAATGAGATCCGCTGCCCCTCCTGCGGCCACAAAAACCTGGAGCCGACGTCCCCGCGGCGCGCCGAGTCTGGGGGACCGCTCCGGCGTGGACGTCCGAACTTGGAACTGGAGCTGAAGTATGTTGTAATCCACCAGGGAGCGTATAGCTGCTGGGCCGTCCTTGCCCAGCTTCTTGTGGAGGACCCGTCTGGACACAGAACCCCCCGGGGAGTCCACGAGCAGTCGGACGATCGTTTCGTACTGCTCCGTGCTCCAGGCAGGAGCGGCCTTTCCAGTACGTGCAGCAGCAGCAGGCGCCAAACCGCGATCCAGGGCTTCCTCGGCAGCGCCGACGAGTTGCTCGAGGGCTGCAAAAGAGGCAAGCGTCAGTTGCCATGTAACAAATGTACCCCTTGTGCACACCGCGAGATGCTTCGCTTGTCGACTTGATAGCATGCGGATGCCTTGACAGCTCATGTATGCTTCAGGGGGAGGGGGACGAGGATGTCAGCACGTTTCAAGGATATTAGAGTGGGCGTCACAATCACAATTGCAGAGCCCATCGGATGGCTCGAAAAGAGGTTCTGTGAGGCTGTGAGGAAAACCCCTCTCAATCCAAACGTTATGCACACTGACGTTCTTTATCCGAAACCTCAGATAAAAATCTTCAAAAGGGACAGCACCACAGACATGCTCTTTAAGGTCTGAGCAATCCAGTACATTTGAATATTAACAGACTGCTTCGCGGTCCTCGAAGCAACCATTCCAAACTCAAACTTTTGCTCTAAAAGTTCTCCTGTTGTTTTTGATGAGGCGCCAAGGACAGTCCATGTTTTCCTCAATTTAGTTTCTGAAAAAGACCCGTCATATTCGAAGACAGCGTGCATGGCATCACAGGACTGTCAGCTCTCAAGAAGAAGGGACAGAGTATGGAAGTGTGACGATTACAGCTGACCGATCCCGGTCTACTTCTCGTCAGGTTCTCGTTAACGGTCAT